GACCTTCAAGTTGTGAAGAATATTAAGGTCGATGGCGAATGCTTTGTATTCGGCCTGATTGTTCGTACAATCAAACCTAGCTTGAGAGAAAAATACCATCTGTAATGGTTGGGCGATTGGATGATAATGTCAACCCCGGCTGAAATACATCGTCAAAAAATTGTTGCGTGGTACTGGACCCATCGAAATACATCGTAAAAAATTTGTCGTGGGTTATGACCATGCCGATTCCAACGTCGTTGCCCCCAAATCCATATGGTGAAGGATGTTGGGCAAGGAAATCGGCCAAAGCTAGTCATTTGACAGCTTTTTGAGACCTTGATTTGTGTAAAAGCATCCCGATGTTCTTCTCACCACTTGAATCGATTGGAATCTTTGAGTTTTAGGAACGTGGAGAAAGCCTTCATCTTTCCTGCCAAGTTGGAAATAAAACGGTAAAAGAAATTGATTTTTCCGAGCAATGATGGTAATTGCTTCTTGGTTGTTAGGGGTGGAGCATCGATGATTGCACGAGCCTTGTTCTAATCTACCTCGATGTCTTGATGGTGTACGAGTAAACCTAAGAAATTCCCTCCAAATACGCTAAAGGCACATGTAGTAGGGTTCATTTTAAGGTTATGTTGGTGCATACCAAGAAACGTGCACCGAAGGTCATTCAAATGTGTTCGGCAGCATTTTGACTTGACCACAACATCATCAATATATACTTTAACAATTGAACCAATCAGGTTATGAAAAATGGTGTTCATGGCACGTTGATATGTGGCAGTAGCATTCTTAAGTCCAAATGGTATAAAAACCCATTCATAGGTCCTAAGCGCCACCGGGCATTGAAAAACAGTTTTATGGACATCGGCCTCGGCAATGAAAATTTGATTGTAACCCGCGTGGTCGTCCATGAAAGATAGAATCTCTTGGTTTGCTATGACGTCAATTAACAAGTATGAAATTGGCATGGTATATTCGTCTTTGGGAGTTTCCAAATTCAGATTACGAAAATCAATGCAAATACGTAAAGCACCACTGTTCTTTTAAGACTGGGACGATATTTACCAACCATTCGTCATATTGAACTGTCCAAATAAAGCCGGCTTTTAAAAGTCGAATAATTTCTTCTTTTATGCCAAGCTGAACTTTGGTCGAGAATCGTCGTGGAGGTTGGCAGAAAGGTTTACAACTGGTTTTAATATGCAATTCGTGTTCGACCAGTGTTTAATCATTGCCAGGCACCTCATGGTAGCTCCAAGCGAAACAATCTTTAAATTCTTCAAGTAATTTACACAACTCGGCCGTCATGGGTTGAGGCAATAAAGCACTAATAAATAAAGGTTGAGGTTCATCGATCGTTCCACCATTTATTTCTTCTAAAGGGTTTTTGATTTCCGGCCGATTATCTTCGAGCTCAGTTGGTGCAGCTCAGACTTGATCAAGGGACAGGACTGGGCCGTTATCTTATCCAACAAGGAACTCTACTAAGTTCACGCCAGAATTCAGCTGTTTGGAAATGGTATACTAATGGGCCAACAGTTGTTTCATAATAGATGAAATTGCAGCCCTGCATCTGTTTTGTTGTATTGTATCAGTAATCAAGATTATCAACTAGATCGGCCAACCTCCTCGTGGCCAGATGAACTACGGCCGATTTATCATCCTAGAAGATGATGACTTAATATAGCAATGAAGGAATGCAACCAGTCTGGTGGATCCAGTCACGACCGAGCAAAGCATTGTACTCGGTCTTTCAATCAACTATGAAAAAAAGGGTCATATGATTTCGACCTGCGATATTTACTTTCAGAGAAAACACTCATTTAGTCTGAGACATGTCGTCTACAAAGTTGTTCATTGTCACACCTGATGGGATGAGCTCATCTTTGGAGCGTCGCAACGCCTTCATAATGGAAATTAGCATAATGTTGACTACAGCTCCACAGTCAACGAAAACTTTGGATATTGGATACCCTTCAATATGGGCCGTTACATATAACGGCTTCAAGTGGTGAAGGTTATCGATCAAAAAACGGGGGAACGGTTCGGCTAAAGCTACTTTAAGCTTATCCTCCTTACTAATCGGCTCAGCTTCTTCAGTGGCCATGAAATCAATTTGCGTAGTTTCTTCGACAACCATATTGCCATCCAAAAACTTGCTTGGGATGTGGTTGACTGGAATTATGTAGGTAAGACATGGACCATGCTGATTCCATGTTGTCGATGACCAAATGGCCTATCGGGTCACGACCCTCGTCCTTTCGATCATTTAGCAAGATGTCTTACTCCTTGGTCGCATTAGCAGGGCCATCTTCGACCACAGGTAAAACACGTTTATATGGTGCATCTGGCATGGCCGTTTCATCTTCGAGTTCAACGATTGGCTACATTGGCGTTAAGACTTAGTCATGTGCTTACAAAGCCTTACAAGTTTGCTCTTGATAAGCGATGCAAGCATCTCTTATGTCTAGATAAACGTCTAACTATGCCACACGTTCTTTTTTATTGACCGTGAGGCCGAATAATGATACAGCTGAGAATACCTCAAAATGATACCACAGGTACTGGAGGCATTCGAGAGAAAATGGGAGGTCGGATGGATTAATATCAGTATATGGTTTCACCTCAAAGCTGAGAACACTGTCTTCGCGAATATGTTGAAACCTAGCCTTCATCTCTAACTCTGACCATTTTTTTATGATTGTTTAGCATCGGGGCAGGTTAAAGCCAAATTAAGAGACTCTTGGTATGCCCTTGGCAGGCCATACAAATCGTTAGCCAAATGTTTCTTGTGAAACTCATGTATGTATTCCAAAACCTCGCCAAAAAATGACGGATGGCAATTTCATTTTACTTTAATCAATGGCTCTTATAGGGGCGGTGGAGGAAGTTTACTTTCGGCCTCATTCTTGAAATGTTCAAAGTGAGCTTTCATCTCTTCAGGTCGAAGAAGAAGTTTGATTCATTTCTTGAATTCTTCAATCTCAGTTTCAAAATCACGATTAATTACCTTTTTTCCTTAAAGCAGCTCAGTCATAATCACTAGAGTTTGTCGATCATTCTCTTTGCTCGCTGTTTCTTTAGGCTGCCATTTTGTAATTGAGATTTCTTGGGCTGCTCGACGATAAGCCATGCAGTCTATGCTCTAACAACGATGATTCTGGATTTAGATATGACAATATATGCGCCGACATGAGAATTGTAGCTATACCATCATTGGTCTCGTGGCTCAAGTGGCTTGAAGGTTCGATGGGTCGTGGAAGAGCTTAAGCTGCCAGAGTTGCGTACATAATAATCCTCATAATAAAATGGTTCATCGAAATCAAGTCGTCATCTGGCTGAAAACGGTTTGTACTTTTGTGGTTGAGGTTTGAGCCTATCGAAAACTCTTTGCTGGTGTTGGCTTGAGCCGAGCATTGTTTGAGATGTTGCTGAAGCCGCATGTGTAGGTTATGGTGGTTCGGCCAGAGGTTTCTATGACTTTGGTTCGGTTATGATGACTTGCGATTAGCACCGACTACGCATGACCATTGAGCTTTTAGTATCTTCTATGCTGGAGTCCGACACTTGTTCGACATAGTCTGGGTTTAAGAGGAAACTAGGTTGTTCATTCTGAGATAGATCAATCTTCAGTCGATGCCAAGAGTTCTGCTTTGGAACATGGTATGTTAGGATGAACTCAGCTTTTCCTTTTTTCTTGTCCCCTGGCAGGTGGGCATCCATCATACTTAATGTTGCTGAAGGGAAAAGATCAGCATCCACTAGCATTTGAGTTTTCTTTGAGAACTTGAGTTTGTCGTTGTCGATCCAGCTTTGAATGGCATCACGGAATACGACACAGTTATTTGTCATATGTTTGTTCGAGTTGTGATACTTGCAGTATGTCTTCCCTTTCAAATATTTGGCCTTAGGAATTTCATGCCTCGACCGAAGCTTGATGCTTTTTGCAAGTAATAGTTGGTCGAAAATGGCATCAGCCTTGGTAATGTTGAAAGTGTATACCTTTGATGTTTTGACAGCTGCTTCCACCAAAGCCGAGCATGTTTTGACATCTTTGGAATTAGTGTGAGCCAGCGCCTTACACACATACGGTTTGTCAATTATTTTCTTGGCTGCATCTATACTGACATATTGGGACTCTTTGCACCCGGCTGATGCATAACTCACTGTTGGATTCTTATAAATCCTCCCTCAGGTTGGGGTTTTCTAGATTTTCTTTTCTTTGAGCAAATAATCATATTACTTGACGTGCTGAGCCAACTCATACATATCTCGCAAGTTTGCCCCCAAGAATTTCTTCTTGTATTCCACATCTAGGCCATTCTGGGTAAGCCTAACAAATTCGACCTCAGGGAGGGGTACTCGGCACCAATTCCCGGCTGATTTAAACTTGGTAAGAAATTTCATTGGTGACTCATCAGATGACTGAGCCATCCTAGCCAAAGAAGAAACCGACACTTCTATTCCCGATCAATATAATTGTTCATGAAATTCCTCAACCAATTCCTCCCAGTTTTGTATAGAATTTGGTGGGAGGTTGATGTCAGCAGGAGGTGATGTTATTTGAGGAACCACTGAATTTCATAACTGGTGTTTTCTTTGAGGATGCTTCTTTGTAATTTTCTTTTCACATTTGTTCTGGAGGATAGGTAACTCTAAATTGATGTGCGATACACTCTTTTTCTTTTGACCAGGTTGAAAATCCCGACAAGGTTTTATCGAGGCCCATGTAAGCATATTTTCCTCCGAAAATATACGTTATCTTTTCTTAATTAATACGTACTTCTTCAAAAAAATAATGAAAATTGATCATAGAAAGGCTCCCCCAACATGTAAAATAGCAAATAATAAAGTTTCTCAAAGGATTAAAAAGGAAAGCCACTTTTAATTCCCATTTTCCAGCATTGTACAAACAAGGTTCAAAAACCCAATTCCATATTACAACTACATAATAACACCGCCATAATTTTTGTCTATCTATTGCATTTTATGGAACTACCTATGTTTTTTTGTTTTTTTTGGTATTTATTTATGCAAAATAAAAACTTACATTTCTACAAACTTTTCACACTGCATGTGGGCAAGTGCACAGTGGTTACCATGTAAACCTCCCCTGTTTCCCGCTAGCTCCGCTTGGCTCGGGGTTGCTCGGCTAGCCTAGTTACACACCTTCCCACTCCTCATCATCGGCGCGTGAAAATCCACACCGCCCTTCATCCTCTTCGTGCGAGGAACACCGCTGATACCACTAACCCCCAATTTCTCATCTCGCCCCGTTTTCTTCCCCTTCATTTTCTCGTCCCCTTTCACCCAAACCCCAAACAACTTCAGTCCTTCCTTTTCTTCTTCGTCATCATCGCCACCGTCCATATTAAGACCAAGACCACGATTGTTCAGTTCAAAATCATCGCAGGTGGGCCCATAGCTTCCACGCCCAATGATGCGGTTGATCTGTTCGGGCCCCATCTTTACGTACTTCACCAGAAACCCCACCAGCTCGTTGCACTGCTTCTTTGTCTGCGCCAACTCCGAGTTCAGATTCTCGTTCTCCCGCTTCAGCTTCTTGTTCTCATCCGATAAATTCACCACCTGGCTCAGCGTCGCCGTCTCCACCGACCCCGGATTCTTCGAGTCCGGCGACGACGTCGACGTCGACGCCAGCTCCTCCCCTGAGTTCGACGGTGTCGATGGCCCTCCGGATTTTTCATCTAGCGCTGCCTGCGCCGCCGTTGATGTCACCGGTTTTCGACGGCGAATCTCGGACAGAAGCTCCTTCTGCCCTCGCTGGAAATTCTCGTTCGCGAACTCCCATTTGTCCGGCACGGTCTTTCGAAATCCCTGAAATTAAAACAACCAAAAAAATCGATTAATTATTTCGTTATTAATAATTAACATATCATTTATGGAATAATTGAGTAATTTCTAGAAAGTTCAATTTTCCGCTGTCCGATTTGGAAAATTGGAGACAGGGGGACCAGACTGCAAACTTTTCTATTGGGTACAGGCCGGGTGTAGATCTGTTGTGCTCAAAAACCCTATGCCCACCCTCTGCCTGCATTAAGCAGTTGACACCTGTCGACGAAAATACCCCAACCAGATCCACTTTTTTTATTTGATAAATTTTTTTTAAAAGTAATTCTAAGAGACTAAATTTATAGACAAAGTTTGCAAGATAAATAACGTGTCATGAATAAGAAATAAGTACGTTTATTAATACTTAATAATTCAATCATCAGCTTTCCTATTATATAATTTTTTAAATTTCGATTACCAATTTAGTCTATCTAGTATTTCTCTCACTGTTAAATAAAGGTTAAATCCATGAACAAGTGTCACAGGTGGGCACAGCAATAATGGGTACAGTAGATATGGGCTCCTTCATTCCGCGGACAATGTAGAATTCTAAAACGGGCTGCGATCTCGATGCTTCCACCGTGACGTCATCTTTCATTAATATATATATTTTTTATACACACCAACTTTTTCTGTTGAAAACAAAAATTAAACTATAAAAAAATTTTCTATAAAAAAAAATTATTAGTTGGAAGTTCCAGGGAAATAGGCTCATTATTATTTTAGTTTATTAAAACATTTTTAAAAAAAAAGAATTATCACAAAAAAAATTATTTTATTGACCATTGGGAACATTTTCGACAATGTTTCTTTTCTTTTACGTGGCTTTTTTTTATGTGTTCACATGGATCCATCAAATCAAAGTCTTTTTTTTTTTTTTGGTTGACATGAAAGCCTCTTTTATTTATTTTCAAGCAATCTTCACCAACCATTGAAGAAAAAAAAAAAACAAGAATCTCTATGAAAATCATTCAACGGTCTTTAGTTTTGTCCTCTAATTTGTTTTTACAAAAACATAAAATTAATTTATGAACTATTAAAAATTAAAGATAAATATAAGTAAAATTGTTATTAGTATTCTAAAATTTTGTTTAAAATAAATTTAGAATGCTCAATTAAACTTTTAAAATGCTAACAACAATCTTCTACATAAAAATACACCCAAAAAAATATAATTGGGAAAAAACTTACATAGGTATTGAGCTGGCGGACGAAGCTTGAGAAATTGTTGTGCTTGAAATATTTAGGCAACAAGTCCCTTGCAAAATCCAGAGTCTTCCAAACCACAAACGTCGTCCCACTTTCATTCCATGATATCACGTCGTCCAAGCTCGGATCATCCACCAGTAGATACGTCTTCGTCAGAAAAGGCGCCGGAACGGACCTTTGCGCCATTTTTTCCAATGGAAAAAAACCCGATTAACAAAAAAATAAAGAAAAAAACTTTGGCTTTAACACTATGTAACTGAGCTAAAAACACACCCTTTTTCTGGTTTTGGGATTTAACTAAATTATGGGTTATTTAGTTAGGATTTAGGAGGAGGTGCTAGGGCTACTAAAAAGGAGAAGGGCAGTGAGGAAGTCCCAACCCCAGCAGTAAAATCCTGAGAGAAAGAAGCGAGAGAGAACAGTGTTGGTTCGAGCTTTGCCTCTACCAGGTACCATGGCGGTGGTTGTGGTGGTTTTGAGCTGGAAGAAAAACCAAGACCATAACTCTCTTCTTTCAATCCCTTCCTCAAGACACAAAAACAAAAAGAGAAACGCAGCTTCTTTCTTGCGCGTTCGTGGACATGGCTCTTATAAAGGAGAAAAGTTGAAAGTGACGTGGGTTCTAGAAATTCTTAGAAACAAAACTCTTTTCTTTCTCATAATGAAATATATAAAGGTTTTTATCATAAATGGTTTTTGAAATTGATCCATCCAATCAAGATAGTTCTTTGAAATTGAAAATCGATCAATGTAGTTCCTGAAAATGACTGTCACAAATCAATGTGGTTCTTCCATCATAATTTCGTTAAAAATTCTATTAAATGCTAATGTGGCACATAAAGACGACCTACAAATTTAATTAAATATTATTATGTGAATAAAAAATGATGAACAGTGTTCAATCATCTCCTTCTTCTTTTTTTTATTTTTATTTTTTTAAATTTTAATTTAAAAAATAGCAATTGTTTTTATTATTTTAATATTTTTTTATTCACATAATAATATTTAATTAAATTTGTGGGATCCATTTAAATGTTACGTCAACACTTAACAGAATTTTTAACGGAATTATGACGGAAGAACCATATTGATTTGTGACAATCATTTTCAAGGATTATATTAATCGATTTTCAATTTCATGAACAATTTGTAATAAAAATCCAATATATAAAATATGAATGGTAATTAATTATTTTTCTTTTTTGGCTACATTTTTATCCGGGTCACAGGCTTATATTGTGAAACCGTGAATTCGGGCAACATGCTCAACATTCATGAAAAATTTAATGTTTGGATTACATTTTAGTTGTCTTTTGTCACATTGGGTTTAGTGTGTGTCAGACTGCGAATCTGACTAATTTTCGCGCTTCCTGCTTGAAAAATTTAATGTCCGAATGAGCATTAGTTGTCTTGTTCAAATAGAGTGAACTCGTAGTTAACCAAACATATCGTGTTTTCATTAACCAGTGAGATCTGAGCTAAAATATGAGTCATATTTTTGTTAACCCCTAAAATTTATTAGTGACCCGTTAAGAATTAAACATCTAATTTTCTCATTACATATAATTTAGACATTTACTTTAAATTTAAAGAAATGGATACTCCGAGATAACTTCAATTATACTTAACCTTTTTCTAATTTCATTCATCGATATGATTTATTCTTTTAAGCTTATGTGCCATTCTTGTAATAAAAAATTATACTGATTCTTTTATAGGTTAATTGGAATAGCCAGAAACCTCAGCCGTCTGGAGAGAAAAGCAAAGGTGATCATTCTTCGCCGCCGGCCCTTGCTGTTGGCCTACGGGTTGACGGCAACCCTTCTAAAAAATCTTCTTGGTCTCTTTCTTCTCATGTCTTCCACTTACTTTTTTTTTTTTATCCAATTGTCGTCATGAAACGTTGTATCCGTCAATAATTATCGCCTTTCAAGGCACGCACACATCAAACACAAAGTTTTAACTCCAATTTGCACTTTTAATATGAGTTTGGATCCACAAAGTGTAATTGGTCACGTTTGCGTCGGGTTGGGATTTAGCTAGCACGACACATTCTCTTTGGTGTAGCGGGAGGATAAGGGGGGTGATACTATTTTTGTCCTTTTAATTTTGATTATGTTTAATAGTTTCCAGATTCTCGCTAGGAGTTTGATAGTTTTGATTCTCTATTTAGTAGAAGCGTTTTTTATAAATTTTCAGTTGAGATCTATGCATGAAAGGGTTGTTGTTTGATTCATTAGCTAATGGCGGAGATATACGGTTAGACTTTTGGGCCTCATAATCTCTATTCCAATACAATTTGAGAGTTTGTTGTCACATGATCTTCGTGTAACAGGAAAATTAACGATTTCGTTAACCCCTGTAATCTTGCAATTTTCGGTGAGCTCGGCTTTCAACGAAGTGCTTGAAATCGCTTATTGCTTTGCAATTAGTCATGATTATTGTAATATTTTAAATCTAGGTTGTAAAGACTATTTAATTGTTCATGAATATGTCTCTATAATTTACCTCTTTCAACTAATGAAATATCGTATCTTAATAAATAAATAAATAAGTTAATTGTGTGCAGTTTGCCATGCGATACTTGAAAAGTCGAAGCTCTAAAGTACCATGAACTTTATCAAAAATTGGAACAAAGCTAAACTATTTTGTCGAAATTAGCGTCTATTCTTTAAGATAATAGAAACGTCATAGGAAGATAATCTAAGTTCGTTTTTCTTTAAACGATATTATCTATACTAAAGTGGAGGACGTAGGGTTTAGTCTTATAATTGACTAGTAATAATATGGTTCATATTCATTTTTGACCTCTTTCTATGGACCTCTCATTTCCGAGTAAAAAAAAATATCACCATAACGTAGTATTAAGTGGCAGAATCTAAGTTGCTTGAATGTTCATATGTAATGGTTTATAGTGACTTCTGTTGCAAAATGTATGGTATTTATTTATTTTCAATTGATTTTTCTTTTAAAATTGTAGGTGGTTAATGAGTAAAGTAAGTAAATTTTTTAACATGCTGTGTTGTGTTACTTATTATTTTTGTGGATAGTTATTGCATATTTTTCTTTCACTTTGTTCAATACAAGTATAGTTTTTCAGAGTGTACGTAGGCAACAATCAATTTATATGCTATATCAATTTAATTAAATTCATCTAGCCCTCTGTTTAGGTGTTAGGTCTTAGCTCACCACTCAATTAGCACTTAACATCTTTTAGAACTTCAGTTGTATGCACAACGCGCATGAAATATTTAATGTTGGACTGCATTTTATTTGTCATGTCACATTAAGTTTAGTGGGTCAAATTACAATTTGATTAGATATGACACTGTACGCCTGAAAATTTTATTGTTCGAATGAGCCTTAATTATCTTACTTGCAATCGAGTTAATTGATTGTTAATCAGTTATAAAATGGGTTGTATTTTGTTAACTCGTTATAAAAAAAATTGTTTTTGTTAAATAAAAAGTCCTACAACATGGCAATTTTGCTAACAATTTCATACATTAAAGAAAAAGAAAAACTAATGAAAATAGTTTGAAAACTTTGAGTTTTAAAGATAAAGACAAAATATAAGGTAAAATAAATAGTACCAAGATTGATTTTTTAGTATGAAAACGTAATTTTTTATTAAAATAAACAGTACCGAAATTTTTTCGTTAAAGTTCTCAAATAAATAACCCACCACACAAACCCTACTTTAGTCATGTTTGAAAGATAAGATCGATATTGGGACAAAGGGACAAACGACAAGCTTTTTCTTTCTTGAAGAAAATGATGAAAGAGAGACTGAGAGAGGTGGGATTTTAAATTTTCTAATGGGAAATGGGTGGGAGTTCTTTGATCGGGACTTTAAAGGAAGCTTCTACTACATTTCTAAAAGTGTGGGTCTTCCTTCTTGTATCAATCAACTTCCGAACGCGTGGCTTCACCATTTTCTGCTTTTTTTTTTTATGGGTAGGCTGTGGAAGAAGAAAGAAGCATGTAGCTTAGAAGGACCTGCAAGAAGAACAAGTTCTAACATTAAAATAATTATTGGCCTCCCCAAGAGCCTTTTCTTTCCTCACCTACTACTTTTAGACTTTGATTCATTTTTATTTGCTAGGCAAACCTTGATTAATTGCTTCCTTTCTTCGTTACTTATTTATTTTTTCATTAATCTTGATTTTTTCAAAAAAAAAATTATACTCGGTAATAATCTATACTACGAAAAAAATTTGGTCAATCATCATGCACGAAATGTTATTTAACTACATAGACTTATTACTTTGACTTTAATAATACACATAAAACATAAGGGGGCAGATTTATGACACTATTTTTTGTAAAAAATTTTACACAAGTTTTTCTAAGCCCACTCTGAAATATTTTCAATGATCCGAAGATCATCCTTGCAAAAAATTAAACAAATCCAAAACCAATAAGATTAAGACATTCATTTATAGTGAAAAAAATAGACGAATATGATTTTACAAAGAAACCATAGTCCCTTAATCAATGGTCATATGATTTTATATTTGGGTGATTTTTAGTAGACATGATCTTTGAGAGAATATTTAAAAGATAAACGGTTCATATCGTTGAAATACATTACAAAGTGAGCCTCACAAAAATGTATGTCAAAAATTGTCTAAGAAAAATGTTGTCACAGATTGTCACCAAAACATGAGAGATATAAGGGCTAAGAGTATATATGATAAATACGTACATATTATCATCTCGACTAAGAAAATAAATTTTCACAACTCCTCTTCACGCACTCTCCTATTTGTTTTCATCATCATGTTTGATGCTTGTTGAATAAATTCTGCTTATAACTCTATCATTGCTAATGTTTTTATAAATTATTGTCTCATATAAGCTCTCCACCTATTAGTTTAAATATAGGTCATAATCGCTTCCCTTAATTTGTTAGTTCCTAGTCTTCCCAATCAGTTAAAAATTTCTAGTTTTAGACTAATATATCGGGTACCTATTGAATTTGTCTTTCTTCTTTCCTGTTTATTTGTCACCATGCAATTTGAATAATTAGTCATTGGAGTATTAGTGAGACATCTTCTTTCTTAAGTTAAATAAATGCCGACATGTCACTATGAGTAAGGAATTTTATCATGATTAGATAGATAGATAGATAGATACTTATCTTTATCAGGTTCATCTGTCTCAAATTGATTTGAGTGTTTTCTGAATGCAAACAACATTATTAATAGCTAAATAACTTCACTACCAAGTTAAAATGCAATGGATACATCTTTTTTGGAATGATTGTGGAATTAAAATTTAAAGTAACTATATATACATATAATAACTAATCGTTGGTCCAGTGACAGTGCGTCTCCAAGGTTTGACTCATGTAGATTTAAGGATGGTATTATTGTGTAAGTTTAGTACCTAATTAACACATCCCGACCCGGAATGTCCACTAGGACTCCAAATCGAGCTGCGTTTGCCGACACCTGGAAGGTGAGGAAGCCATAAAGTGTGGTGATGTGGAAAAATGTGGATAAATTTAAACCTAAGAGTGCCTAAATACCAGAGTGCGCTGG